TCGCAAGTCCGGGACGGCTAAAATTCCAGCTCATCAGAATGGGCTCCATCCCAAGGGTTAGTTTTGCCCGAAGCTACGTCTAACATCGTGATAGGTCATATATAAGTCATTGCACAGCGCCAATACGGCCGAAACCCTGTCGGCCCTTTGTTCTGGGAATACTGACTCGACAGGAACCCGGCTCCTCATTAGTGGTCCCGTGAGGGTACATAATGTTCTTCATGGCCCATTATTCTGCATTATTCTTTACCAATGTGTCAAATGTGTAAAAACATAGCCTACCCGCACGTAAAGCAGCAACCCGAGCTAACGGCACCAGTTCCCCAGGAAAGCGTACAACGTTTACAAGGGAGTCCGGTCTGTTGGTGAGTAGTAACTAGCTAGTTCTTGGATAAATGGGACAAACAAGACAATTATTTTAGTAGAGCAAAGCTACCAACGTCCAGGCTTACTTACGTCTAAGCTGAAGTTTCAACAATGCCTGAATCCGCCACCGCTAATAAACTAGGTTATATCTAGACATATTCATCAGACCGTTCTAGTCCACGTGTAAGTATCGCAGCGTCGTTTACATCTTCCTTGCTCTTGCGCGCGCGCGCGTAGCCAAGAAAGTGGCCAGCCGCGGGGTCGTCTACCGCATACGTGTCGAGTGGCTTCATGACGCGGTTATTGACACCAACTCCCGCCGTCATCGATGACAGGTCATCACTACTAGTAAAGGCCATCGTAAGTTGGATAGAGCAGTCTAGAGTACTAGGTATGTATCATCTAAAAATCTAGAATATTACGAGTCACTTTGCAACGACATCATGAGAACTTTATATTTCCGAGTTCCCGATGGTGTCTAGACAATTTGCTCACCCGCGCTCACAAGTGTATCGTGTTATTAACCACCGACTACCTAAATCCACCTAACAAATGTCTACCCCGGGAAGCCTCTATTAAGAATGTTGACTGAAAGATCCATGGTGGTAAATTCCAACTGGTAACCTAAGCCTATTTCATGCCAACTGCCGTTGCATAGCTAGAGCACATAGGTAGAGCAGAGCAAAGCATCAAATAGCCAAAAAGAGCCTTACTAAGCCCAAAGACGTCAATAACATATGAATTCGACTTCAGCAGTACCCTAGCTCCGAGCTACGTGAAACCTACACCGGCTGCCCACATAAGGATGTTCTATTAAGGAATACAACCGAAATAGTAATCGTCACAAGTAGGTCTTTTTCTCAGCTGCAGTGTAGCCGTCTTTGCAACTTATTGTATATACCTAGATAAAGGACAGAGGTTGTGGAGCACTGAATTACTTTTGTAGTTGTCATAAGAGACTAGAATATGGTCAACTCTCTCACTCGTCAAAAGGAGAGACCCTTCCAATGGTTATCTACTCAAGGAAAGCCATGTTCTGGTCGATAACACGCCACCGCGCGAGCAGCTGACGAGGAAGTCGATCATCGATCCCTTGGCGATGCTCGAAATTAGGCTAAGAATCAATGTGGCCGGTGTGGTCACCACATTAATATGGCGTATTCTGCTTTTTTTGTGAACAGATGATAGTTACCGAAGCCGGCATCGGTTGCGGCACTCCCAGTACCAATTCTGTGTCTAGACCACTCCGTCTGAAGTCCGAGATGCGGCACGACGGGGTTACACTAGATCGATTCCACATATACGGAAATTGCAGCATTCAGAATGTTTAGCTTCATTTAATTAGAAGCTGTATAGTAGAGCTACTTTGGAGATGAGCTACCACGAGCAGCGCCCTTAGACACACACTTCAAACCGAGGCGCTCCAACCCAATCCAACTAGGGAAATAAAGCAAAAAGAAGAAAAATTTGCTTTTCTTTTTCTTTTTTTTTCAAATCCAGCCAGAGGTCGAGGCCCGGTTATCTGCGTCAGTCGAGTTGCACGGCTTTCTCAGTAGCCGAAACCAGTTTGTCACACTGGGCCTGGGTGATCAAACAACCGTCCCTCTCTCTCGTTCTCTGCTCTTCAATATTGGGACTCGAGCCAATGTCCACAAAGCGACTAGGAAAGGCCGACCCCAAAGCAAACACGGCCGGGAAACTAATAAACGAGCCCATTTTATAATGCACCGGGCCAGAAACGGCAGTGCCCAAAAAAACCCACTTGGCTAACGGCAAAAGCAATAATAGTAATATCAATATTTCAAGACACACACACACACACACACGTACTCTTGCCAAAAAGTCACCAACAAGCGCTTGTGAGCGGCAGCCTGTGAATTGTCAAGCGGCTAGCAGCCGGAACCGAGAAGTGTGCGTATCCGGGATTATTCGGTACTTCACATCCGCCGTCCCGGGGTGGCCCCATACTCCTTTTCCTTTTCCTTACCAGCCCATATTACGGCTGTACCCTCCTCCTCCTCCCACCACGAGATCCGCTCTCTCAGCTGTGCGTCCTAGACCCACGCCCTTAGCACCACCACCGCCGCCACCGCCACCACCCCATCCGGACTCGGCCATCCTCAACTTAATCCTATCTCTTAGTCTCCGACGGTTCTTCTTCGATCTCCTATAGTGATGATGGTGGTGCTGGTGCTGGTGCTGGTGCTGGTGATAGGAATTCCTCGACCGCGGGCGCAGCAGAAACTGCTGATGCAGTTGCTGCGGCCACTCGAAAACCGGGTCGAGCCAGCGCTCGGGCACGCCCGAGGACGTGACTAGACCACGGGCGCCACCGACGCCCACACGGCCGAGGATGTACTGCCAGCAGTGGGCCAGGACGCAGACTAACGTGAGCAGCAGCACGACGCTGATTATGGCTACCGCCACGGCGACGACGAACGCCTTGGGGAAGTTTTCGGGCACGGGCGTGTCGTTGTCGTCCGGCTCTTCTTGCGCGCGGCACAGTGTCCCGTAGAAGAGGACGACGGAGGAGATGGTGGATACGAAATATCCCATCTTTGCGGTCACGTCGAAGAAAATGCGTTGGAGGGAATACCTAGGTTACTCGCCTCCAACCGTTGTTTCGAATCCTCAAGTGCGACGAGAATGTGTATGATGGAAGATCATCCAAGATGAGAAACGTATGAGAGGTAGGGTTTGCATCGGCCGCGACATCTCGAGAATACTGAGTCCGCGCTCATAAGGCGAAGAACGCATTTTACTCTTCGAAAGAACCGGGATGCTTCACGTTTCATAGAATCATCATGTTTTGTTTGTTGTTCGTATTTCCTCTCCTTCGCAGCAGCTCTTCTCGGCACGTTGTCGATCACGGACGGATACGAGACGAGAAACAGGTTACGGAAAACTTAATCGGGTACCGAGCCATGCACTTCGGAACTGGCAAAGCAGAGGTGAGTTTAAGCCCACGCGAATCCATCCGCTCGTTTCTTCGAAAACAGGGATTTCTCGATGTTGAAATATTCGTGCCTGGTGTCGATGATTCCCTCATCTGTGGTTAAAACTCTATTATGGCCTTGCTTCTCGTATCTCGAGATTTGGTGGTAGTAGCACTGGTGGAATCATGGTTGATGTATGCGATAAGGGTCTACTGTAGAGCTGAACTGTACAAATGGGTTCGAATCATAATTTGATTTGATAACTTGGATAGAATCCGTACCTAACAGTAGACACAAGTTGGTGATTTACATCATATATATCCCGCTTTAGCTGGAGTGGAAGTCAACAAGCTGTATCGAGAGCACACCTGTATTGGCTCTTAGAATGCACTCCCTGGCCAGTAATGAAGCAGTATGCCTTGCTATATCTTCAATGGTTGATCATGTAATTATATGCGCACGAAAGAGCGATCTTATTAGTGAATTCGTATGGCGCCGCGAAGAGCCACAAAAAAAAAAAGTAAAAGATCAAAAAGAAGGATGAAATGTTTGTATCATATCATTTAATTTGACAAAAAAGCAAAAAGATGATTGCACATTTTCCTTGATAAGACGGGGATTCGAACCCCGGCCCCTTTCGGGAGTAGGAATCTCAATGAATGAGAGAAGAGTCAAGACTCTTGAATCTACCGCCATAGACCGCTCGGCCATCTTACCATTTCTTGGAAGGTGCATGAGGCTTGGTGCCTCGGTTGAGATTCCGGTTTGAATATTGCACTTATATTTTAGTGTTTGCTGGTATCCCGAAGTACGACCGCCCCTCACCTTTTTTTTTCTTGGTGGGGCAGCACCGGTGCATCGGATAGCTGCAGGCTCTTTTTTTTTTTTTTTTTTTTTCTCAGGAGTGACATTTTGCTGGTACCTAATCAGTTTCCTTAGTCTGGTTTTATTGATGACCAACTCTAGAAATGAATACGAAACTTGTCACATAACACATGATTTTGCCTTTACAGTCGCATCTATCAAGTCCAAGCCTTATGGTAAGATACTGGAACCCGAGACTGTCGACCATAGCTAGGAAGATCTTGGTCTAGATTGATGCTAGATACTCCTAAGATTAAGGCCTGGATTTGAATCTTCTAGAATAACACATCTTTGTTAAAGTTCGGGATCTTGGATAGAGATACCTGATCCCGAACTTACTCCTAGACTTGAAGCCTCAATATGAATCACCAAAACACAAAAGCATAAAAGTACCAGAGTTACCGAGTGCAGTTGGCCCAGTCTAAACCAATATGTTGATGTCGACTCAAGACTCCAACACCAGCCGTTTCGATTCCTAGTATACCTAGGTATACACGACGTGCTCTCTCGATACCGTTCTTAATTAGATACATCACCAGCGCTTCATCGCTTTATAATTACGCGCATCGCAATCACTTGGCATGTATCGCTTATACCGTCATTACTGGGTTTCCATGACATATTCCATGCTTCGTTCATATCTACTGAAAATGTAACCGTATAAACACCCGCATGCTCATGTACTCCGTACCTCAACCGAACCTAAAAAGTCCGTAAAAATGGCCTTTCCTTATATGTAACCCGCCGGACCCACTTACCGCACCTGTAGCCCTAAACGCCGCTGCACTACAACACAACATAATTGCAATTTACAATTGCGTCCCTCATTAATCGGCGGGGATAGCTCAGTTGGGAGAGCGTCAGACTGAAGTTAGGACTTTAGTTTCAATCAAGATCATCTGAAGGTCGTGCGTTCGATCCGCACTCACCGCATTATTTTTTGCTTTTTCCTTCTTCTCTCCCTCCCTTCTTTCAAGTCTCGAAGGTAAACCGAGTCTCTTTTTGTCGGACTGACGAAATGTGTGTGTGTGTGTGTGTGTATCCTCACTCATCGAACAAGTCTTGCCTGTCTCACATAGGACGGCAAGAAGTATCGCGAAAGGCTATCTAGAGTTTTTCCAGAGCCGTGGAGTGGAATTGGGTCACCACAGTGAACTTCTTGCTAGTATCGACTGTCTTTCCCTTGCCGTAGAAGTCGGTGTTGCCGTGACGGAACGGGTTCAAGTCAATACTACTATACTATACTACACTACTACGCATGCTTGCTTTCTGATCTTTTTTTCTATCTCCCTATGAAACCACTTCGTACAGCCCTACATTGAATACTATATGCTATGTGAATTCAAGATTTCTGCTTCTTTTTATTTATGTCCAAGGTCACTCTAGGTGTGTTGGCTGAATTATGTTGCCGGACTTGTGAGCAACCAGAAAAATGTCTTTGCCAGTGTTGGTGTGCTATCTATTGGGCGGAAGTGCGTAGCAGATTAATTACTGCCTACCATGAGCAAGTGCGACGATAATGACGGCCTTCATGGTAAAATTTCATAATTACGACGCACTAGGACGTGTAACATGTCGCAGGAATTCGCGCTCTGCTATATTACTGTGTATCTCTGTTGTTCGTAGATACTGACCGGTATGGTATGATGGATGCTTCTTCTTCTAAGCAAGATGCTTGCTTGGTCATGTATACCGGCTTTTACCTCATGGATACATATAAAGGTCAAGGACGTGTGGTATCATGACGCCGGAGATCACCATAACCTCTTTTAACGCATCGCAATATTCCTAGCGAAAATCAAAATCATCCAGTATGGAACCCCTTCACCCAAGTAACAACGACGAACATCTTCTATACCAAACAGCGAAGGGGGTATTTATTACTCTCTACACTACCATTAAGTATTAATAGGCATAGACTACTAAACCCAACACTCCCCCCTTCCCCTTCCCCTTAAACACCCACGCCTATTACTACGAAGGGTATAATGCCTCTCTCTCTCTCCTCTCTCATCCTCCTCATCCATCTTTCTAAACGAGCGAAAGGGGTATAATATGTGTATAAAAATGATTTCGCGACCGGTCCCATCCCCCGCATCATCCCAATTAATATCCAGGTCGTTACCAAGTCTTCGTGACGATCGTTAATCGTGTTGGTCATCACACAAGTCGTTAAGGAGTGACAGGCCCAGCCTACCATGGTTGTTGACACCAAACGAGGTTAGGTGAAGAAAAGGGCGTTGAAGAGCGTATATGCATATATGATACCGGGCTGCTACTTGCGGGAGACCTGCAAGCGAAACGTTCAACGCTGGGCAAGAGAGCACCCGATATATGCTGAACACTCCCTTTTTATTTCATTTAGGCAGCCTGCTCGCCGACGACGGGTGCCGTCGGGGCGGTAGCCGTCTTCTCGGGGAATTCACCGGCTTGGTGGACGCGGCCGTATCGGGTAAAGGCGAGGTTAAGCCTGTTGTAGTCCCACCTTCGGGAGAGGATGAGGAAGGCAAAGGCGCCGACGGGCACTAGCAAGACATCCAGAATACCGAAGAAGATGTATCCGGGAGTCACACCAATGCGGTTACCACCGTCGGACAGACCCCAAGCGATCGGGTATAGGAGCCATAGGAGGTTGACCCATCCTGCAAGAAGGGTGTCTATGATATTACAGTTAGCCCATCGATATCTTATTAATCGTAATGAACGGTTCGAGGTGGTACTTACGGTCGCCGGCAACATCGACGCGCCTGGCGGAAGTTGTGCCGTGGAAGAGAGTGCTGAATGCGAGGAGCAGCCATGAGACGGTTCCGAAAGCGTAGAAGCCCCATTTGTAGTTAGATGTCGTGAAGGCGGAGACAAGGTAAGAAACAACCCTATTATGAGTTAGTGTCTACATATTCAAAGAGTTATATCAGATATCAAGTATTCCCACTTACCAGGTCCATGCCAATGCGACGTTGTAAAGAATCGTTGCCCAAGAGACACCGCTCAGAAGACCAAGAGCAATCGTAACGACGGGGAAACTAACGGCCCAGTTCACGTACTCGGCCCAGAAGATTTGTCGCGTCCATGGGTCTGCAGGCTTGTGGTTGACAACCGGGACGACCTCGTAGGCGAGATCGGAAGCGATGGCGAAGTAGGAGATGGAACCGACAAGGAGGGCGATGGTGAAGAGGTAGTGGAAGATCTTCTCGCCAGATCGAGCTACGAAGCTAGTAGCGTAGAAGATGATGAAAGAGAGGACGTAGACAGCTGTTGCCGCCCATAACCAATCGCTACCATTTACGGTCAACTGCTCATTACCAGCCGGAGGGTTGATATCGAGAGCCTCGTTCGCACGTCGGAATATGACAGCCATTGTCGATGGTCTGTTTTATTATATTTAATGTAAACCAGGCAAGCCGGGATGTATCGAAAGAATCTTCACTGTCGAAGTGAGAGTTGAATTATCTGATATAGCCTTTGGATCACGGTATTTGCTGTGATTCGCTGTGTAGCTGATGCAGACGAGTCATAAGACGAAAGGGGGGAGACGAGGCTCATAATATAGCAAACGACCCCCCCTGCAAGAGCATCTAAGATGGAAAGCTGTAGAGTTGCATCATCGCGAAGGCCGGAAACCAATAAGTGGTGATGAGTCAATATCTCAGAGTGAAGCAATGGTTAAAGCCGAGATCCGCACGAGGTATTCCGTCTAGATGATCATATGATCGTAAATTTGTTGCATATGGAATCTTCCACAAAAGCCGGAAGGGTGCGGGCGACGGATCAAGACGGGTCATAGTGATGCGTTTGTGGCATGGGCTGGACTAGAATACATTGTTACCCACTCGGAGCTTTGCATACTCGGAGCCAAGGGTAGAGGCCGATGGAACGAGCGGTAGCAGAGACACACCAAAGAGAGAAGTCGACCTGCAATAAAGAAGTCTTTGTGATGCATGGTTTCTCGAGCCAATGTGGTTGACGATCCTTCAGCCCTGATGTGGGGAAAAACCACGGGACTCGAAAAATCACCACGAGAACGTGGCAAGCTTACCGTTAGCTTCCGCCGGTTCCAATATTTGTCTAGATTTGTAATAGTTTCATATAGCTAGGAAATAAATAATCCTGAAATTTTTTATCTAGCTTATGGTAAGGCCAAGAAAGAGACATGTCTAGATCATCTTACAAATTACGCTGGAAGCCCGAGGGAAAAGATTATGCCATCGCAGAAAAGGGGTCATGAGGGCGTAACTAACGCCCGGATATGATCAACCAAACGCAAGGAATCCTCGGTAACGATGACAAGATGTCCCAACCGACAGAACGATGTTAGGAAAATGTACAATAGCAAACGACCATGTCCTTTCGGGCTGATGGCGATAGAATGGGATGGGATGGGACGGGATGGGCTTTCACGGCAGCATCGGATGAGCTAAACACAAGATGTAGTCCGGATAGTGTAGCATTCGAAAACGGTGATAGGTCCCCACAGAATACTCGACCACGTTCGGTCTAAAAAAGGAAATGGGTAGCACCAAATAGAGCTAGCATCGTTGAATCAATGCCGGAGCTTGCAGGGCTGCCAATGTAAAAAGCTCGTTAGATCGCTAGAGCTTGGGCTCCGCACCTCCGACGAAGGCCGGGAAAGGCGAGCGAGCTATCGATGGGTAGCGAAAGGTATCAATCAGTTTTAAGCGACTGGGCAAAAATGCATAGTGGCGTCGACTTGACGTGACGTGACGTGATAATAATGAAGGCCTCTTCTATAGGAAATAATGAGAGATTTTGGTTATATTATTCTCTCGTTACCTACCCCCCCTAGCAACAAACCACTTGGCTTTTCGGTGAATGAGTGAGAGCGAGTTACCCTCGTCCATGTCCTATAGACAGACGATGAGAAGGTATTTGCGTTGGAGAAGCTCTCCTATTTTTCGATTACCGATGTCCTAGCCAAAGCCAAGACGTCGTTTTGGTTGATATGTCCTCTGGTTCGTCAAAGTTTTGAAAATCGAGGCGGAAGCCAAAAAGGAGGGGGGAGTGTTTGACTGGGAATGAGAGGTTTGGACCATTGAGAGCCTCAAATTGCCTGCAGCTTTTCCCTCGAAGCCACCCCCGGCTTTCACGGAAACGCACCATGACATTCATGGGCACTATGGATCGAGATGCAACGCTAGACCAGTCTCAGATGGCGATCGACTGTGCAGGTGTCACGCCACCGGGGAACCACCAGCAACCCCCAGCGCGAGGCCTTTTTGTTCCTTCGTTACCTTTTTTTTCTAGTGGGTTTAGTTTGGGCAATAGCCGGCAGAAGATGATGGAATGACAAGCTTGTTTAAACGTTCCTTCTTTTCCACGTTAGATGATCGGAGCCTATTAGTCGGCGACTGCCGAACAATCCGGAGTTTCTTGTTTCTTACATAACCAGACCCCCGGACCTTCCGTTGTCTACCTTATGCATGTGTACTTAGGTAGGTATGTAACTTCCAGGTTATCGATGTATATAGGTACGTAGATACCTATTAAGAAGTGGTAATGATCACATCTGGATTACGAGATCGAATGGATGCTTAATAAATTGAATAACACCTTCATATATCGTACACTCTTCAAGCCACTGACTCCGCGTCTATGCGAGCCATCCAGATGGGTGCATGCAACTTGAAATGCGACTCGCAAAGAATAGCAATTATTATTACCTTATTATCAACAACTCAAGTCCTATCCATGACATAGTCAATGCAGTCTTAGCCTTTTTCTCCTCGTCTCCCTTATAGTTTCGCTCCATTGGTTTTCCCTTACATACCTACCTACCTAGGTACAGGTAGGTATCTAAGTCCTGCATGTGTTTACGACCCGTCCTCTCACTTGCCCGTAAAAACCCCATGGAAAAAAAAAGCAAAGCCGGGTTTGTTGAATCATACCTGCACTACTACCGGACCTAGTTATGTATG